GTAAAACTAAGACTGACATTTTTCCACTGTCTGTATTCAGACATATGTCATTAAACACTTTAGTCAGAGCGGTTTCAGTGCTGTTATTATAATTGCTATCACTATAGTTATTTCTAGGGGTACTATGATGAAATTTAAGAGTGTTTGAGCATGGACGGGGTGTAGGCCAGTAAAGTCACCCGGACTTCTGCAGATACACTTCAACTGCAAGTTACTGTCGTTCAAACAGTTTCATAATGAAAAGCATGACCCTACTCGGATATTACGAGAAAAAAAGAGAAGGAAATATGTCAAGGATATTGCACTCACAAATACCCGGCCTAGTATCTTGTGAGTTTACTGACCCACCCTCAAACCAAGACTATCCTGCTTTGTATCTGCAATCCAAGAAAGTTAGTTATCTGTTTAGTTCCTATGGTCTGCTGCCGACCCTGTTGAGCACCCCATAAAGGATCTCCATCACCAATGATTTTTGGTGCCCAAATAGAAGTACTCTCACACGTTTAATTTCAGCGTTGAATTATGAGTGGGGTATTGTTCGGTTCAGGCTAGTTAGGGTTGAGTTCTTCACCAGGAAATGATGCAATATTTTTCAAAGTGAAGAAAACCGTCACAGTACAGCCCATCCCACTCCCGTACGCCTTTAAATAGATTCAAAGTGACCGAATAAAAGTTCAGACAAATGCAATGATGAAGTGTTAACCTCAAAACCTGAAGAAAAATGTTGTCTGTAACAGAAGACTCTGTTAGGGACAACATGCAGGAAGAATGTAAAACGTGACAGACTTCATTATTTGACGTTTAATGTAGCCTGTTTGCACAAAAATATAATAGGTGTTTTGTGCATAAGCAGGATAGTATTATTTTAATCCTGTGTTTTCACGGATACGTGGATGGTGAGAGGGGAGTGGCGCACACCGGAAATTAGCCAACTATTGCTCCTCCGGCTGCTTATAGTTAGTCATAGCCATGGCGCCGGATGAAAAAATTGTAGAGTGGCAAACAAACGAGATAATTGAATCGCTGTTTAACGACGAAAACAGTGCGAGGCCCCGTATGTTAGGTGGTGATTTGGAGACTGACAGTGCAGGTTAGTGCAGCTTTTGTATGTGAAATATAACGTTTCTTATACCCAACCGAGTAAGCTAGCCACAGTAAGCTAAAACGCTTACTGTGAACGCTTTCATTTTTGAGTGGTTGGCATTAAAGTGTTTCCTTGTTTTATTTCTGCTGCAGTCGAAATTCGCTCCTAGCAGACATTAAATAATATTAAAACATGAAGAAGACGTTTTGAGTCTGGTATTTTTAGTCTAATATTTTTATTTCCTCTTATACCCCACGGAGTTCATCTCAGTGTCTTCGTCCATTGCTTGTTGTTAGCAGGTCTAACGTACGATATAAGGATGACTGTAAGTGTTAATATGACAAACGTATTAACCGTGTGCTTCTCTGTGTTTTTAAAGACGATTTTGACCCGGTTATAATCGCTGATAAACTGAGAGCTGTCGCCGATACCCTGAATAAGGACCCCAATTTTAAAAAAGCATTAGATGAGCTGAAGAAAACCGCAGCAACAGAGGTAAACCCATAAAAACACATCCTTATTTAATGTCCTCTTTGTCATTATTCACACAGCAGCAGGATGATTGTAAACTGTTTTAAGTTTCTAAATCTACAGTGTCCAGTTTGGTTTTGTAACAGCTGAGCTAGATAATGTTAGATAATGGGAAGAGCTTAAAGTCCCAGTTTGATTCTGAACCATATATTTCGGTGTTAGATCATCACCAGAGTCACCATGAAATACATTAAACACAATATTTTAAAAATGGATAGAATTAGTTGCTCTCTTAGAATTAGAGAGCAACTAAAACACTCACCAGGCAGTTTGGGGTTGGACCAGGAAGTAGCAATTCTTCTTAATTCTTCATGAATTCAACAAGGTGCTGAAAATGTTCCTCTAAGGTTTGGGTTTTTCTCAAAATCGAGATCTGCCCCCTGTGAGGCATTTGACTGTAGTTGACTGCAGTCTACTAGCTGTTGTCATGTTCAGTGCACTAAGATATTTGCTTTAGAAAAAAAAAAAAAAAAACGACAGTCATGTCATGCCATGCACTAACCAAACACTCTGTTTGGTTAGTGCGTGGCTTATATAATAGCTACTAACAAAGATGAGCTGGAAATATGATAACGTAGTTAATAATAAACCATACTTTATATTAACACTTAATAATAATGGATTGCATTTATATAGCGCTTTTCGAGAAACCTCAAAGTGCTTTACAGTTCCACTATTCATTCACTCACTGGTGGAGGCAAACTACAGTTGTAGCCACAGCTGCCCTGGGGCAGACTGATAGGCGAGGCTGCCATATCGCGCCATCGGCCCCTCTGGCCAACACCAGTAGGCGGTAGGTGAAGTGTCTTGCCCAAGGACACAACAACCGAGATTGTCCGAGCCGGGGCTCGAACCGGCAACCTTCCGGTTACAAGACGAACTGCCAATTCTTGAGCCACGATCGCCCATATTTCCAAAGTGTGCCACCTTTAAATAAAATCAATTGAATGAAGATAAATACCCAAAACATGCAGTTACATTCTCCCAAGGTAAACTAAACTAGACCCGAACTCTTTCATGGCATGCATTTTTAATTTGTCTTTGCTATTTGGGCTGATTGGCACCTGATGAATGTAGAAACAAAGTATTACCAGACTTTTTTTTTTTTTACCTGATTTTTGTTTCTGAGAAAAATGAGATCCACATATGAGGACATTCGTTTTAAATTTCAATAGAACAGTGGCAGTATAATGTCCTCGCACGTGGATATCAGGCCCTTGTAAAGCAAAATTTTGTACTTTGGTCTAGACAACCCTAAATGTGATGTCCACATATGTGGATGCCAGGTCCTAGGAGGTTAATATAATATGCTCTATTGTATGCTGATAATTTAGGAGATAACGTATTGGTGTCAGTTGAAGAAGATGGATGGATGTGGTCAGAGTTATTAGGATGTTTGTTTTCCGGCTTCTTATAAAGTACCGCCTCCTCTCACCCCAGGCTACAGAGGCTGCATTTGAACGTGGCGTGGAGCTCCTATGTAAGAGTCATGTCGCTCAGAAAGCTGACATTGCTCCAGAGATGCAGCTGATCCGGGCCTCAGCAGCTATTGGACTTTATCTGAAAAACTCATACCCAGAGATGAAAGAGAATGTCAAGACAGCCTTGGCTTCATTCCTCAACAGGCGGGTGGGCAAATGGATCACTGAGAAAGGTGGATGGGTAAGTAAACTTTTAAGATTCAGATCACTTCAGATTTAAGTCTAAATATGACAGTAAACCTCAACCAAAAAAGGTTGACTGGGGTATTGATGACAAGCTGCCGGATGGACTGTGTCGAAACCTTTTCTTCTTCTTTTTTTGTTAATGCAATGACTCAAGAATCTTGGGATTTCCAAATATATTTTTCTGTGTATTAGATGTTAATCATAATAAGGTTGGAGGTCAGACACTGAAAAAAATGACAGCTGAAGTAGCCTTTCAATTGTCCCACTGCAAATATTGGTTAAACAATATGTTTATGTAAATACACTTGTAATGAGTAAGAATACCATGGTAATTTGGGGCTTTTATTGATTTCTTTGAACTGCTCTTTTTCCAGGGTGGAATCACAGTAAGGCATACATCTCATACATTTTCTCCAATCCACACAGGCTCATATATATATATATAGGGCTGCTCGATTATGGCAAAAATGATAATCACGATTATTTTCACTGAAATTGAGATCTCGATTATTTGACGATATTTATTTAACAGTAACAATGTGTTGAATAATGACTTTAAAGATTGTCAAAAAATAATATAAAATTGTGTGCAATTACTGATAACAGTGCAAATGTTTGCAATATAAAAAATAAATGAAAAATGTAAACATCTATGTTTAGTGAACTTTGCGGTGTTGCTCTGTGGTGCAGCTACGACACCGTAGCAAAGTTTACACACTATGTCTACTTGATCCACGTCTGACTCGCGAACCCATCATGTTTCCACACCACTGAAGTTTTTTTTACCTCTCTTTTCAACCAACAGCAGTCACTCTCCTCTCCAAATAACTTCTGCTTAGCTTTCCGAGCTTCCCTCGGGTCCTCTTAATCAGCGGTCCCCAACCCCCGGGCCTCGGACGGGTCCGTGAGTCGTTTGGTACCGGGCCGCGAGAGTTGAGGCTCAGGTGTGAAATGTATAGTTTTCAGGGTTTTTATCGGTTTTCAGCGTTATTTTGTTATCGTTTACTCGGTTTTCCTGGGTCTTTTCACGTGCGTTATGAATACATTTTCTTTTTTTCGGTACCAGTACTAGTTTAATGTTGTTGTATTTATCCGCGACACCTTAAAGGCCGGTCCATGAAAATATTGTCGGGCATAAACCGATTCGTGGGGCAAAAAAGGTTGGGGACCGCTGCTCTTAATTGTTGTGACATGTGGTCAAAATGCAGAGAGGTGCGCTCGATTTGCCACACGGAGCAGCGCGAGAGTAAAGCACGAGGGAGTGGCTAATAATCGGCTCAGTCATCTTTAATGATCGTTGAAAGCCCAGATCATAATCGAGATTAAAATTCGATTAATTGATTATATATACACACACACACACACCTGCACTAATATTTGATTAAAGGTCTCAGCTGAAAACCTCTAACCACAATTGTACCTGTTGTCATTGTGGCCAAATAGATCAGTCTTAGTCTCATCTGATCATAAAACATTTCTCCAATAAGCATTTTGCTTGTCCAAGCTTGGTACTCTCAGTTCATGGTGATGTAAACGTTCTCTGCTATGTTGACAGTCATCCTGTCAGTTTCCTTTCATGTGATAGTGAGAGTGTGGGTCTTCATCCAGACCTTGACAAAGTGGCAACAAACTAAAAATAACCTGTACTTGCGTACAAGTGTTTGAATTGATGGTTTTGGGATAAGCGGTTGTTTATGAATGGCTCAGAGAGACCTTATGGTAAATGATAAATGGCCTGTATTTGTATAGCGCTTTTTCTAGTCCCTAAGGACCCCAAAGCGCTTTACACAACCTGTCATCCACCCATTCACACACACATTCACACACTGGTGATGGCGAGCTACGTTGTAGCCACAGCCACCCTGGGGCGCACTGACAGAGGCGAGGCTGCCGAACACTGGCGCCACCGGGCCCTCTGACCACCACCAGTAGGCAACGGGTGAAGTGTCTTGCCCAAGGACACAACGACCGAGACTGTCCGAGCCGGGGCTCGAACCGGCAACCTTTCGATTACAAGGCGAGCTCCCAACTCTTGAGCCACGATCGCCCTTACCTTCCTTGGACTTTCCCATTTTATAGGTCAATCCACTAAGTGCTGACAAACAAATCATTTTTATACTGCCAAAGAGAAACTATCAGTTATATTTAGTCATGATTACAAAAACAAGAAGTTAATAGGCCTTAATTTTGTCAAGTGAAACAAAACTGTTGAACCTTTAAAACCTCTTATTCAAAGATTTTCATAATTTTGACTCTGTAGATTAGAGAAAATCCAAAATGAAAAACAAATGAATACAGATTAAGGAATAAATAGATGTGTAATGGATGATGAGAATGACCGGTAGTCAGAAAGCATAATAAAGAGATCTGAAATGAGAGAAAACTGATTGATGGCAGATGGCTTCAAACTTGAAGCTTGTTGATTGCTACTAAAATTGTGAAAGGTGGTGTGAGACTCTACCTTGCTACGGGGACATTTAACCAAATATTAGTGTGTGTGTGTATTTAAGCCTGTATGCACACTTCTGGGCCTATGTGGATTAGAGAAAATCCAAAATAAATTTGTGCACCTAATTCTTGTTTTGTTTTTGTTTTTTTAAAGTATTTGGGATGTATGCAGTACAGATATTCCACCCTGGTAAAATAACAGTTCAAACAAATAATTAAAATGATAAGTGTATGTAACCAAAGCTCTACAGAAGAGGAGAAAAGTAAGGGTCAGAGAGTCTTTTTGTATAAATGTTTCTAGTGTTTTATTAAAAGGACACTGCACTTTGTCCTGATCGAACTTGTTAAACCTGACGCACTTGGCAAAGTTACTGAGGCTATACTGACTTACTCTACAGGAAATTGCAGATGACCTTGTTATGCAGCATTTTTACAACATGAAATGAACTTTTATCTTAGATGATTTTCGAATCCGTCGGTCATTCTTAGTCGGTCTTTGACCTGAACCACAGTCTTATTTTAGTTAAGTCATCTTTAATTTTGGATTCAGTTGCAGTTCAAAAAATGATTAAAAGACCATTATTGTTGTATTATACACTTTGTGCAATATCTGAAATGTTTCAGTGACATATACAAATTCATGTCTTTTCATTGTGCGTGTTTTTGTTACTTTTCAGGGCAAAGTTGCACCTGTTTGAGACTAAATCCAGCCAAACCAACCTCATAGAGCTCTACAATCAAACCGGGTATTAATTTCTTAAATGTCTGTTCAGGGTTTTGCTATCACACAGGCAGACATGTTATCACACACTAAGCCTGTTTATTATATGAGAGAGAAGGGGGGAAAAAAAAACAGAACACTTTCTCATTGAAGTTCCTGCTTGGCTGAGCCCATGTAGTGATTCTTGGCTTTATATGTGGTGGTAAAATAATTGTATTACTTGAAATGCTCTCCCTGAATGGGTTAATAAATAAAGGGCAAATAATATAAAAATATGATACCAGCGGATCTTCACTACATCATGATCTTAAGGGAGAGTCTTTTGAGTAATCAGTGGGGTAGCCTCTAATCATGTCTATTTGTCTTTCTAAGTGCTGTCTTTTGGGAAGCTCTAGCATTTCTCAGTAAGGTGAAAATGCTTAGATTAATTAACATTATTTAGTAAGTTTAGGTGTGTTTTGAATTCTTAATGGGGAAAAACCTTAAAAAAGGGATTTGTCCCTTTTGCAAAACATGTTAAGATTTTGACTCCATACTCATTACATTTTGCTATCTTTGATCGAGCTCTAAATTCAGGTGTTTGAAAACAGTTTAGTGAAATGCAGGTAGTTTGTCATATCTTGAGCCATCAGATGATGAAGAACCTGCTGTCAGGTTGTTATTTTTATGTCTGCATTTTATTTAATTTTTTTCACGATGACATATTTGCACTGGGAAAAACTGAACAACTTCAAAAGTAGGTACACACGTGTTGCCATTAGGGATGTGCCAATTGCATTAAAATATTAATTTGTATGTCAGCTGGTAAAATATTTTTTATTTTCTTATTTGTTTCTTCTTAATGACTCTAAAC